CGATGGTAAGATAGCCAGTCGGGACGACTGCTAGAAGCAATTAGATTATTGATAATGATAATTCATAATGATAAGCTCATATTAACCAGCCGATACTTGTGAAGACTGCGTAGGTTGCTCGATGACGGAAGAGGCATACCCGTATATTGTTCTACATAGTAATTTGTACACAGGAATGAGAGACAAACAAATTTGAAATCAACGAATTATTATTATAGCACATAAATAAAAATCAGAATTCATATAAAAATCTTATAATAAATTTTTATATATTATATATATTATATACAGTCTTGATTTAAATAGTATATTGACCACCATGTTGCTAAATAACTTTATCGATTTATGCTAAGATACTATATCAATTAGATTATATATTTTAATTTTATATTATTGAATTTTATTATGTAAGTGAATTAGTGAAAATGTACTAAAAATTTTGACTTTTCAATAAATATTTGAATAACCATTAAGCCAATTTTAATATTTAAAAGTATATATATTTCATAATTAGTGTCCTTAATTGAATAAGTAATAGTTATTGCGTAGCAACCAATAATTCTATATTATTGGCTGCTTCGCATCCAGTAACTATATATTTGGCCGCTCGATCATAGTAATCTGATGGGGGATATGTAAATGAAAAAATAGCACTGTAATTTCGTTTATAAAGACATAATGTTGGTCTTTACAAAATTTTATCCTAAACCATCAAGCCGTTAAAGCTGTATATCTATCTAAAATTCATGAAGAATTATTATAGAATGGAAATTTGTATAAAAAATTCAAATTGTGAATTTTATTATACTACATATAGTTTTGATTTATACAGGATTAACTCATATTTTAAACAAAAAATCATAAAATTTTTCATTCAATCAATAACAATTCTAATTATTATTATTATTATTTCTATTAAAAATTAAACATCACCAAGACCTTCCAACCTAAATATTTAATAAATTAATTTTTATAAGAGAATTAAAACTCATCAATATAAATAAAAATAAATGAAATATTGTTTACCACTTTTTGTACACATTTTTTAAACGCTTCAAATTCTTTAACGCATAAATCTTTATTTACACAATCAAGGTTGCTTGTTATACATTTTGCGTATATTGTAGCCTAATTATTTTTTGTTATTATTAATCGGATTAATTAAATCCAAAAATTTATTATCTTTTAAAATTTACAAAGAAAAAAAACATTTACTTGCGCAGAACATTGCGCAACCCCCTTTGCAAGTAACGTAACATATTGATTTTTTTTTGTGCTTGACATACTCTGTCGAAAAATTAAACGATTGAGAACAGTGAAATCAATAATATGTAATATACCCATTTTTATAATGAACGTAACAAAAACAATTTAATTATGTTTGACGTTACACATTTGATTTTGTGTTACCATTACCGGTATTACTACCGATAACTACTTAATATCTTTTTTTTCAAAATTCAATCTCAACTGCATTTTATTTAACTATTTGATATTAATTTATACATTTATTGTACGATAAAATGTTAGTACCATTTATAGATATTTCAAACCAACAATTATCAGTAGATTTTGTCAAATCTCTTGATTTAATTGGAGAAATTATTCTTCGTATTCCTGATTTTAATGATACATCTTTATTATCTCAATTTCTTGAAAAACATCAATTAGATAAATATTGGTTAATTTCAGTAAAAGAAATAGTACCTGATGATATTGAAAATATCGTTAAATTCCTTGATCAAGGTGCTCAAAAAGTAGTTATTCCAGGTTCAAAAATTTTGACAAGTGATTATATTTCTACTTTACCAGCAGATAGGTTAGCTGTTAATGTAAATTCACGCGATTTATGTGATGAAGAATTGATTAAAAAATTAGCAGGATTAGTTTCTGGATACTTGGTTACGGATGTTGATTTGGAATCTATTTCTGGAAATTTTTTTCAAGATTTGAATAATTTTATACAAAATGTACAAAAGAGTACTCTTATATCTGGTTTAATCGCAAAAGTCACTGTTATTTTGCAAGAAACAAATGATATAAAATATTCAACAAATTTGGTTCAACATTTATCAACAATTTCTGCTGATTTAGTGGTTCCCATCAAATATCTCACATTGGATTCAGATAATAATTTATTAAACGTAGCGGACGCTTTAACATGTACATTAAAATCGGACCGTTCTGATGGTTTGTTTATAACTGTTGTAGTGGATGAAAGAGGTGTGGCATTAGGGGTAGTGTATTCATCTACCGAAAGTGTTAAAGAAGCACTCAAAACTAGAACAGGTGTATATCAAAGCAGAAAACGTGGCCTATGGCACAAAGGTGCTACATCGGGATCTGTTCAAGAATTAAAAAAAATTGAGGCAGATTGTGATGGTGATACGTTAAAATTTACAGTTAAACAATTTGGAACTGGTAAGTTAATTAAATATAAAAGATGATATTATAGTTTTATTCAGTTATTTGACTATTTTATTTTTTTTAGGATTTTGTCACTTGAACACGCGTACGTGCTTTGGTGGAAGTAAAGGTCTTATAGCACTTGAAGAGACCCTTCAAAATCGAAAGATATCCGCACCTCCCGGATCATACACACAACGATTGTTCCAGAACCCAGATTTACTTCACTCAAAAATCATGGAAGAGGCAGATGAATTGTGTTCTGCTTCTACCAAAGATAATATTGCTTGGGAGACGGCAGATTTATTATATTTTGCCCTTGTTAAATGTGTTGCGAATGACATCTCGCTAACTGATGTGGAAGCACATTTGGATAAGCGTGCAAAGAAAGTAACTCGGCGACCTGGTAATGCCAAACCTCAATGGGATGTTTCCTCTAAAAAAGCAACGGAAATTGATAGCGATACAAAAGATAAACAAATTCCAGATACTATTAAAATGCAAAAATTCAAATTATCTGAAATTGATTCGAGAAAAAGAAAATCACTTCTTAAACGACCTATCATCAAATCCGATGACATTATGGCAAGAGTGCGTCCTATTGTCAATGATGTACGAAATAAAGGTGATGCGGCCCTTATTGAATACACGGCAAAGTTTGATAAGGTTCAACTTAATACTCCCGTAATTTCTGCGCCTTTTTCACCAGAAGCGATGGCACTCGATGACGTCACGCGTTGTGCGATTGATCAAGCTTATGACAATATTTACAAATTTCATGATGCACAATATGACCGTTCAACACTAGTCGTCGAAACAATGCCTGGTGTAGTTTGTTCACGATTTAGTCGTCCTATTGAACGAGTTGGACTTTACGTCCCAGGTGGTACAGCGATCTTGCCATCAACAACCCTTATGTTAGGTATACCAGCTAAAGTAGCAGGATGTAAAGAAATTATTATTGCAAGCCCGCCACGAAAAGATGGAACTGTTGTACCTGAAGTGCTATATGTAGCGCATAAAGTTGGTGCTTCTAAAGTTCTGTTGGCAGGCGGTGCTCAAGCAATCGCAGCGCTTGCATATGGAACCGAATCAGTACCTAAAGTAGATAAAATATGCGGTCCCGGAAATCAATACGTTACTGCTGCAAAAATGTTGGCACAAGTAAATAAAAAATTTCTTTAACATTTAATAATATATATTGTTTATTATTGGAGTAAGTCTAAATAATTCATTACCTATTTTAACCTTTTTAAGAATGATAGTTCTGCGATGATTTCCATCGATATGCCGGCAGGGCCTTCAGAACTTTTGGTTATTGCCGATAATTCAAGTATTCCCAAGTATGTGGCATCTGATCTTTTGTCACAAGCAGAACATGGAACAGATTCACAGGTAGTATTAATTGGTGTTTCTCTAACACCTGAACATCTTGCAAACATTGAACGTGAAATTCATGAACAAGCAAGTCGTCTTCCAAGAGTAGACATTGTTCGAGAATCAATTCCGAAAAGTTTCATCTTGCAAGTAAATAATATGAAGGAAGCAATGAAGTTTTCAAATGATTATTCTCCTGAGCATTTAATATTGCATATTGATGAAGCCGAAAAATGGGTGGATGCTATTGAAAATGCTGGTAGCGTTTTTGTTGGAGCTTATTCACCAGAAAGGTAACATCTATTTTATTGATATAATATTATGTAAACAATACGTGATTTTGCTTTTTAGAATTTAACATACATTGACTTTTTTTTAGTTGTGGGGACTATGCCTCTGGTACCAATCATACTCTTCCCACATATGGCTACGCGCGAATGTATTCTGGAGTTAACACACTTACGTTCCTAAAACATATCACTGCACAAAAATTGACTAAACAAGGATTAAAAGATTTAGGACATACGGTTATGAGATTAGCTGAAGTTGAAGGATTAGAAGCTCATAGAAATGCGGTTCATGTTAGAATTCATGATATTGAAAATGATTAAGAGTGATTGAAAATGTTTGAGTGATTGAAAATTGTTGAGAGTGATGAAATGCGGAAAATTTTATTACAAGATCACAAGATTTTCTTTATTCATTACCTTTATGTTTTCCATATTCGTTCAATAAAAAAATTATTCTGTGAATAAAAATCAGTTATTAGTCTAATAAAATATTAGTATTAGTCTAATTTGCACATCCGTGACTAAAGAATCGGTTACGTGTAAGTTTAATAAAAATTAGTATTAGTCTAATTTACTCATTTTGTTTGCTACGTAATTATTAGACCTTATGTGATGATCTGTAAAATCTTTGTTATTATATGGCACGTTCGTAATCTGTGACAGGTTAAGACACTGATTTCAATCACCGTCCGACTATGCCTTAAATCATGATGAAAAACTATTGTATTTAGTAATTTATCATTACGAAGTTAAAGTTGAATATATAAAAAATGATTTGATCGTATTTGATTATTCTTATTTTTTGCGATTTTATAAATTGACATTTTTTTTATCTAACATGAGTAAAGCGTGCAAATTAAAAGTTTAAATAACTTATCGACTTCTAATAAGACTTAATGTAAAAGAGAACCAAATTTTTTAATAAAATTTATAAAAAAAAAAAAATTAGTATGAAAGGTCCTTCAAATGCCTCGCAGGTTATACAAATTTGTATATATATATTTTTAAAAAAGAACTTATAAAACGGAATTAAGAAAATGGTTGCGAACGATATTTAGGGCATCACTTCACTTTTAGTTATTAATTCAAACAGTCAAAATATTACGAACCGTGTTAGATAAATTCAAAGATCAGTGTAATGAATGTATCAAAAATAAAATCTCCCGAATATTTTCTTTATGATTTTAGTCGCGACTGTTCAATCAAAAGTGCTGCGAAAATGAGTTCACGAATAAATGATATGGAAGAAAGGAGAATTCAGCTCTGAATTATCTTCATTCAAAGAGGTAGAATTAAGTAAAAAAAAGTTTTTTTTCAACATATACTTAAAGTAATTATATTATACTAAGGAAATATTTATGTGGTATTCGTTATTTTGATTTTAAAAGGCTTTTATTTTTTTTATATAAAAGGCAACTTTAGAATTTTAAGTGCTTACCATACCGGTGATTGAAATTAGCAGCTTAATCTGTCACAGATTACGGATGTGCTATTATATGACATAGTGATAGATTTTATATGTTGTACGTACGTGCGTACGCATAGGTTTAACTGTTAACATATAACGTACGAACGAACTTTAAATGATTCCTTCAAGATATTAAATAAAAAAAAACCTTTGCTTATGTTAAGTGAAAACAATTTTTACTGGATAATTTACGGGGACAGTTCAATTCACATGAGTGGTTCGTTAGGAACATCTTTTCCAGTATCGCCGCAAAAATTTCACTGTCACGTTAAATTCAATAATAATTTCGAGCCCACAGATTAATATCTAACTAATATAAGAAAAACTTAATCCCGTATAACAATGAATAAAGCGCGAAAACTGCCAAATTATGAAAAAAAAAAAAAACTTGTTAATATTAGCTAAATTATATCGTATCGTATTGACTTTTTTTTTTTTTTTTGTTTAGCCAGAGAAAACCTTCAAAAGGCGACTAGGAGTTACCTCCTAGACAGTGTGAGATT